AGATACCGACTTTCATCTTTGTAATTCAATAATTTGCTTCCTTCATAGAAGACATTCTTGGTGTCACTCCACAACTCCTCACTGGTGTTCAATGAATCAAATATATTCTTAAGATGTTCCTAAATTGGATTACAGCTAAAATGCAATGAAGGTCATTTTTGATTCTCATGGACTCATTTTCATTTCCTTCAACTTCAATTTGAACTTGCGTATGAATAGTTAATCATCTGTCCTATAATCTACCCTTTGCCTGGTTCTGACTTCTGTTATTGGGTGTCTCCAAATCTCTTTTCACAGTTGTAGTGAACCTGATTTTCAGTCGAATAGAGAAATCATTTACTATTCAAAATTATATTATGTCAAAATTATATCCAGCCTCATTTTTGTCACCAAGACCATATCAGATTTGTTTGTTTCCAATTCTTGCCTTCCAATCACCATTATTAATGCATTGGAGCACATGTATTTCAGATTATAAAAGTTGGTAGACATCCTCAGTTTCTTCATTTTTGGCTTTTGTAGTTGGTGTGTATATTTGAGTAACAGTTTTATTACCAGAACTTCCTTGTATACATAGGAATAGTAACATATTGCTCAAAGCATTCTACTTCAGGATAGATACTGAAGTGCTCTTTTTTTGGACAATGAATGTCAAACCATTCCTTCTTAAGTAACCATTTCCAGCACAGTAGATAATTTGATTGTCTGATTCAAAATATTAGTATATCTCGGCTCATTAATGTTTAGGATATCAATCTTTATGTATTCTATTTGATTCTTTACAATTTCCAATTTTCCCTGATTCACATTCAATCCTAGGAAAACTGGAATCTGTAAAGATTATAAGATTAGAAATTCTATGTAAGAGCTACTTCTACCCTGGATACAGAGAATCAAAAGAGAATTAGCAATAATGGGTTTCGTAGAATTCAAATATAAAGGGAAAAATAACTTAATTTTAAAATGGACAAAGAATGTTGAACATTTCTCCAAGGAAGAATCAAATCCACCAGATATTCCATGAGGGAAAAATGAACAATCTCCTCCTATGCAATTTACTGCCTCTGAAAAACCTCTGGAGCTTCAGCTATGAGTTGATTCTGACTTGGCAGTACACTACAAGGACAACAGCACATGAAAAGACGCTCAACATCATTATCTTTTGTTATTCTTATGGTTAGGTACCATACAGGTGAGGATGACTCATAGTGATGCTATAAACAACAGATCTTAATTGTGTCCTATCCTGTAACATCTTCACACGTGACACACATCTTACATACATAAGCCCTTTGCTGCAGACACTGTCAGTCTATATCGTTTCACAGATCCTCCATCTTTCCAAACATGAAGTTCCTTTCCAAGAAATAATCTCTCCTAGCAACATGTTCAAAAAATGATTGATTATCTTTGTCTCCAAGAAGCAATCTGGCTGCACTTTTTCCAAAACATATATGTTTGCTCTTTTGGTAGTTCCTAGTATACTCAGTACTCTTCTCCAACACCACAACTCAAAGGCATCAATTCTTCTCCAACACCACAACTCAAAGACATCAATTCTTCTTCAGTCATTATGGCATGCCTGTCCAAGCATCTACCTCAAGGGGCACTAAATAAATCTACTCTGATAAACAAATGACCAATAATAAATGGTTACTGTTTTTAAAAGAAAAGAAAAAGAAGGAATTTATCCTTTTTCCTAACTAAATTAAAACTCTTATTCCAGAAGAAACATCAGAAAAAAGTAAATAAATCTATATATCTCTATCTATATATATATTTCAAATTATGTAAACAAAATCATTACCTCAACAAAGATCTCATAAATCAGTAACAGAAGGATGAAAACTCAAGAGAAAAATACAGAACTGATCTGAACAAGCAACTCAGAATAAATATAAAAAATGGAGAAAAGTTAAGCATCATTAAAAAATTTACATAAAAGTAAAAACAGTAAGCATTTATTTTACTATGATGCTATTAGGAGCTCTTTACACACCACCTGCCTCCGTCACTAGAGAATGAGAAAACTGAGTAAGCTGTCAAAGTTCCCTCAGATAATAATTTAGTGGAGCCAGGGAAGCACTAAGGTAATCTGATGCCAGAGTCAAATCATATTCTTAAAACAGAAGAATGTGCACTCAAGTATGTAGCAGAAAACACACTGCAAATAGAGACTCTCCATGTCTCTCAATGTCTAGTAGAAGACTGGTTCTAAAATTCTGCCTGATAAAAAGTACTTGGTCATTTGTTAACGAAAGCCAAACTACAGAGAAATTCTAATACATTTTATCTAAGGTATGCTATTAAGATGTATTACACCTTTAACAGGCATCCTCTTCAATTTTCACAATCAAGGTAATTTACAAACACCAAATTAATGAGATGAGAGTGTGTACATAAACATCCCATCACTTAGATATATGCGTGACAAAAAAAGTTCAAAACATAATGCTAAGTAAAAAACCAAAGTGAAAAAATATATCTACCATTTGTTTTTTAATCTAAAACTATATGCACGTTTTTAAAAAGTAAATAAAAACAGAGTAAGCATAACTATTTGACACTGAGTGTCAAATTTTTGACCACATTTTAAATCAAGGCTACAGTACCATTTTGACCACTTTAAATCAAGGCTAAAGTACCAAAACTGACCTTGCCAGGCTCCTGACAGGACTGGAAAAGATCAGAAGTCCTCTAAAATTCCTAATATACTTTATGATTATATTCTGAGCTGTTATTATGAATATGAATATAATGCAACCCTCAGTTCTACTGGAACAGACAAGACTGAACAACCTGACAGAGAAAAATCTAGACTGAATTTCATCAAATGTTAACAGAAATCACTCAAATGATAGGGGATTTTACCTGCTTCTTTGTAGTGTATTTTTATTTACCAAGCTTCTATTTACAATGACTATATTACAACTTGAGGGGGAAGTATTTAAAAAGGAGACAAACTTTTTTTATCTAGTAATTTAATCAAGCAGATTGTGGAAATTATTGAATAACATCATTGATATCACATGCAAGCAAGATTCTGCTTAAGATGAACCAAAAATGAATGGAAAAGCACATCAGCAGAGAACTGCCAGAAGTCCAGACTGGGTTTCGAAGGGGTCATGGTACTAGAGATATTATAGCTAATGTCAGATGGACCTTGGCTGAAAGCAGGGAGTACCAGAGGAATGTCTATCTGTGTTTCCTTGACTATGCAAAGGTGTTTAACTGTGTGGATCACAACAAACTGTGGCTGACTCTGAGAAGAATGGGAATTCCAGAACACTTGATCCTGTTACTGCGAAACCTATACTTGGACCAGGAGGCAGTCGTCAGAACAGAGCAAGAAAACACTGCATGGTTCAAAACTGGAAAGGGTATACGCCAGGGATGTGTGTCCTATCTCCATACCTTTTCAACATATATGCAGAACAGATCATCCGGGAGGCTGGGCTCTATGAGGAGAAGTGTGGCATCAGGATTGGTGGAAGATTCATCAACAGTCTGCGTTAGGCAGATGACACAACCCGGCTTGCTGAAACTGAAGAGGACATGAGGCTCTTCACTGCAGCCTTCAATATGGATAGAAGCCCAATATCAAGACGACAAAGATTCTCACCACTTGGGCCAATTGGCAGCATCAGGATGGATAGTGAAGATATTGGGATTGTTAACACCCTCAGTTTGCTTGGCTGGCTCCACAGTCAACGCTCTGGGCACCAGGAAATTAAGACATATCATCACCATGGGAAAGTCTGCTGTTAGGGACCTCTCTAGAGTACTGAAGAATAATGGTGTCACTCTGGAGACTAAGATGTGCCTGATGGAGGCCATAGTCTTTGCCATTACTTGCTATGCATCAGAGAGCTGGACAATGACTAAGGATGATAGAAGGAGAACTGATGCCTTTGAGCTATAGTTCTGGGAGAAGAGCACTAACTATACCATGGACTACTAAGAAAACAAATAGGTTCAACCTGGAGAGGGTGAAACTAGGCTGCTCCTTGAAGGCAAGGATTCTGAAACTTCATCTGACATACTTTGGAAATGTTGCAAGGAGGGATCAGTCTTTGGAGAAAGACGTCATGCTTGGGAGGGTAGAGGGACAGGGCAGGAGAGAAAGACCCTCAATGAGGTGGATTGATTCAGTGACTGGAATAATGGGGGTGGGTGTGTGGGAGACAGTGAGGCTGGCATAGGACAGAGCAGGGTTTAGGGCTGTTGTATGAGTCACAGGCAACTTGACGGCACATAACAACAAACAACGATATGTGTTTTTATGGAATAAAAAAAATCCTTAACAGCTTAAAAAAACTCAAATTTAAGAATACTGCTTTCAAAGGCACAATTCTCTTGAAACAAGGACTATCAGTGTGCAAAACTAAAGAAACAAGGGGAAATCTGGCATGCACTAGAATTAAAATTCAACTATCAAGTAATATACTCCAGTAAAATTAGTTCATTCCATAAGAATTATTTTTTCCTAATCATAAAGAAAACAAAAGCCATTAATACTTAATTTACTCTCTTATGTGGGTACCATGATCAAGACTGCATTAATTTCACTCCTTTTCTGTTGGATAAAGAACTCTTACTCAAGCAAACATCTCAAAATACACACACAGATTAAAAGACTAAGCTGTCAGATCCTCCTTAATACAATATTAGTTAAACTTAAGCAAAGGAGAAGTTTAGCATGCTAGTAAAACTAGATTCATCTCTACATTCTCTAACTAAAAAAATTAAATAAATAAATAATAACTATATATAGTTTGTTGTTGTTGTTGCTGTTGTTACTGAGTCGGAATCAACTCATAACTGATCCTTCAGTGGGTTTTCAGAGAGATTTCATTTCCTCCTTCAAACAGCTGATAGATTTAAACTGTATACCTTTGGGTTGACAGCTAAACTTCTAACCATTAAGCCACAAGAAGAATTCCATGTATTTAGCTGTAGGAAAGTAAAAATTGCATTAATGTTAAAAAGACAAGACCTACCCCATCCAAGAGAGTATTTGATAAATGTATACGAAGATCTTTACGAAAGGGAAATTCCATATTTGAAACATGAAACACTGAATTATCTCTGTCAATCATAAAAACTTCATTTGTGCCATCAATCAGCATCATATAACTGTAAGAGAAATGTGAAAAGCACATAATTAAACAATACAATATCAAAAAGTCTTAAGAAGTTACTTCTTAGTACTCCAACAGTTTTATAAAAAAATGTGCATAGTCCTTCGATCATCTCAGTTCAATGAGAATTATTTTAAAAATTGTTTCCTACCCAAAATCGAGTTTAGGTAAATCTAAGTTCTTACTGAGACAATATGGTTCAAGAGCAAATTAGCAACAGGTCTTCAAATGAGTTTCTAATTGTCATCAGAAATTAAACATCAAAGTTTATAAAACACACATAGACATACAATTGCACTTTATTTGCTCAACATCTATGTGAATTAGGTATTACTCACTCCTCTTCACCATTGAAAAAACCCAGAACTCAATTCAACCAATCCTCTTTCCATTACAACACTAGCGGAAGAGCTAAAAGCTTTATAAAGTTGCAAAAAACTTCTCTTTCAAAAACAAATAAAAACCCCTCTCTTTGAATCTATATGATATTACTAAATATCAAAATTCCAGGCAAAATTTTCCTCATCCATAGTAAGAAATTGACATAGACATTTTTATTAATCTTTATTAAACTCAGTCATTAAAGGGGAAAGTTTATATAATTTGTACTCTGTCATTCCTCAAAAGGTTGTATTACCACAACTGATTATCATTCAAGTGGCCTAGTCCATAGGCAGTGGGCCTGCTAAGCCAAAAGTGGTGCCTCTCTTACAGTTAGAATCTCCCAGTCATTTCACAGGGGAAAAAAATGGGTATTTTCATCCTATACTATTAACAAACTTTGAAAATCCAATGGGGTTTTGAGTTGGTTTCAACTCAAAAGCTATGAATTTGACTCTTCATTCTGAATCAGCAGATCTCATACCACATATAAAAATAAATTATTCCTACTAGGTTCAAGTTAAGGTGACCAAAACGAAAAGATGATGCTACCAAATGAATAATGTCAAGAGAAAATGGAGATCATATATATCTAGGTAGTAAAGTTTTCAAAGAATAAGCAAAAAGATGACAGCAGTGAGCTGTCATTGGTGGGGTTGTTTTCTGTTTTGTGGTTGGTTTGTTTATTTGGGTTTTTGGTTTGTTTTTTTTTAAAGCAAGACTATTTAAGGAGACAAACCATACTAAGTTGTTTCTGTTAAGATGTAAATAAAAGAGCAGTGGAATAATCATCTGCACGCACCCTGATAATGAGAGACAATGTAGACCACCTTCTTCTCCAATATCCTGCACAAGAACAATATAAGCTGTGTCAGAAAAGGCAACAACTGAGAGATGAAGATAACTAAAACTAAAACCAGGACACCAAAACAGTCAATGAAAAGATGAGAGCTACTATAGTGTGTGAAAGCTAATATAGTAAACAGACGAATGTGCTCATCATTATATAAATATTTAGAGTAGCATTCACAAACTTATTGCCCTTGAGTTGGAATGAACGCACAGTTGACCCTCAGAAGCATCAGTGTGTTTTCAGGATGCTGTAAAGCTCATAAGATGGTACTGCCCATCTTTCTCTGAGGGAGAACGTAATGAATTAAAAAAGCCAGAAGTGCCGCCTTTTAGTTAACAATGCAACTCCCTACAGACCACACCACCAGGATCCACTCAAAGAGTAAGGATGGCGTATTCAGAGAAGTCATGGAGAAATGGGAGGCAAGTCAAGATTAAGGTAGGTGATTTAAAGTAAAATAAGGAAGCAATGATGGTAGAAACAGCTCAGCACTCCACAGGTAATCTTATCTAGCAACTTCTGCCATCAAGATTGGCAGAAAATCCTATGGGGCAGTTGGCAGTTTAAATCTGTTATGGGCTCTTAAACTAACTCGACAGCACCTAACAACAACAAAGGTAAACAAAGAATGCAACACAACGGGGGAAATAGCAGTAAGGAAAACCAAAGGGGCTTCTGTCTTGGGGCAAAATGGAGATGTATGTCAGTAATAATTAAGCATAATGGGCCCATGATGAGATTATGGAAAGTGCACGCAGGCCTTTGTGACATGTTAAAACAACTGCGGCCCTAATCATGATGAGAAATGAGAAAGCCATTGCTAGTAAAGCAAAATCTAACTACAGTAACTGCATTTACAAAGACTTCTGGACCAACTGTCAGGCCAACTAGATTCAGCCCCCAGGAGTATCCTACCTGTACTCTTGAGAATGAGCAATTCCTAGTGGATCAGAGAATTCAGGATTCCTAGAAGTAGACAGGCTGGCCCTGCATTTTGTTTTCCCAAGAATCTCAATCATATGAGGAAAAGTCTTTAGCAAATATGGTACTGAAAATATATTCTACTATTTTCTCAAAGACCTCTAGGTAGTATTTTGCAAAGCATGGTATTCATTAAAAAATATTTTCCTGGCATAATATGTCCTTTTCTTAGAAGGTCATATTTAAAGTATGAAAAGAAATGCTAAAAAGTTTGTTCATCATATTTATGCACTATTTCCTAATGTTAATTCTCATAGTTATTAATATTTGGTTTAACTTGTTTTATAGTTACAATTTGGGAGAAAATGAACTGTATGCTAATAAGTTTCCGAATTCAGAAAAAACAGGTTCTTTCTTTTGAACACTATGATGGTAGAAACTATATTTCTCTTTTTCATTAGCCACTCTGCCCTCTATTTACAGTTTAAATAGAATGACAATTAGATCCCAGGGCACTAGCACATTTTTTTTCCTGTCATAATTATTTATTCAACATATATGTACTGTGCTACCAAGTCAACTAAGGGACAGAAAGACTTAGAGTCCCTCTAATTCACTATAAAGGACTGCTCCCAGGAAATGTTTGCATAGGTAGAGATAGAAAAGAAATTACTGAGCCAGCAGTTGGTATTCGAGGATTCTTCTGCATATGTATTTTTTAAATTTTTAAATAAAAGTTTGTAGGCTATGATTTTTACCTGAACTTTAGTCATTCTACTTGGATTTCACCTGATGGTATGCATAGGAATCAGATCGATTACATGTGTGGAAAGAACCGCTGTAGAAGCTCAATATCAGCTGTGAAAACTAGGCCAGGAGCTGATTGTGGAACACACCACCAACTACTCATATGCAAATTAAAGCTGAAGCTGAGGAAAATTAAAACAAATCCAAGGCAACCAAAATATGACTTTGAGTCTATCCCACCAGAATTTCAGAACCATCTCAGGAACAGGTTTGAGGCTTTGAACACTAATGAGCGAAGGCCATATGAGTTGTGGCAGGATATCAAGGGTATCATCCAGGAAGAGTGCAAACGGTCATTGCAAAGACAGAAAGGAAGAAAAGATCAAAATGGATGTCAGAAGCTATTCTGAAAATTGCACTGGAACGCAGAGAAGCCAAAGCACAAGGAAGAATTCAAGATACTAAAGAGTTGAATAGAAGATTTTAAAAGGCAGCACGGGATGACAAAGCAAAATATTACAATGAAATGTGCAA